GGGTGGGATTAAATAAGCTTATGCTTCTTCCTGCTCCTTTTTGAACATGGACGTTATTTGGAGTTGTGGTTGCTCGTTTTCCTTTTGTTTGCTTTGTTCATTGGTCTCTTTTAATTCTATTTTTTTATACTTTTTCAACATGTTCAAAATAAAGATTCAATCAATCAATCAATCAATCAATCCTAGTCACGACCTTCTACAATATACATTTTTACCCTTAAACAGGAAGATAAACAATAAGCTGTTGTACTAAGCAAATAACCACATTCTCTCTTGGTGACTGATGTTTTGAACTCTTTTGACAATACCCGATACAGATGTTTCCATACTCCAGAGACTGATGAGACAATGATGGGCAGAAAAACAAAAACACAGACGAGGTGGCACATGAAGACCAGCCCCGGGCTTTCTCATCTCTGTGCGCCCGGCTCTTAATAAAAACTCCCAACCACTCAGTGTGTTCGTGCACACTTCAGTGTTATCATAATTTACTTTTGAGAGACGGAAGCTTGGACTAAAACCATCTTTTCCACATGACTAAGCTAAGACTAAAAGATCTATTTTGTTGTGTCCAAAAATATGCCAATCAAATGAGAGACTGAAAAGATTTGTTCAGGGGCAGGAAAAGAAAAACAAACAAACATAGAAACAGAAAGACCATTACTACTTTTTATCTGTTTTCAGCCATTTGACAGATGCTCTGAGACAATAACTCCTTATATCTCCAAGCTGGATGCCTATCATCACTGGGAATAAAGAATCCAATAGTAACTCTTGTATTTCTGCGTGTGTGAAAGCGTCATCTCTAGCTGCTATTACCAGAAAGAATGCATTAGGTGTCATTCCAGCTCTGCCCAGTGCATGTTGTCTTGTCTTGTTTTGTGCACTCCACTGAAAATTAAAGAAGCTGTATCAACAAAGCAATCTACCAGCACTTTTAGAGACTATTTCATTCTCATTAAATTAAACAAGCTAACGTGTTAAAATCAAGAGGCAGCAAATCAAATACACAATGCTGCTCTCATTAGCCATGTTTACACGTGCAAAATGTAAATCTAATTAAAACCTGTAATATAACGTCATTGTTTACATAGAAACTAAACCAAGTGATCTGACCATTACCTGCATTTACACACATCCAAGCATTTGACAAGCGCAGAATAGTCTAACTTTCTGGAAAACAGTAGAAGCAGTTGTCTTTTCCAATGTAAACAAACGCCGCATGTCACAGATTTCAGCTTCTCCCCTCTCTAACATTTGTGAAGTTTGTGTTATTTTTCCTTTTTGAACAGACCTTCAACTTGTTTTTGTTGTGTTGATGTAACAGACATGTAGAGCAAGAATAATTTCACCCTGAACACTGGAAGAACTATTTACATACAGATCAAACCGATTAACAATTGGAAATTTTAAATCACCTTAAAGGAGCATGATCACATAACAATCTTCAAATTGGCATGTTTACACTTCTTTTTAATGCAGACAGGCTTTTAATGAGGTTGCTTGTGCCCATGTAAACAAGGCTATTGACATTAATTTACATTAATACTATTTTTTTCCTTGATCAGAAATAATGTCAAAAAAAGAGGAGGGGGCATTTAAACTAGGGCTGCCACAAACGATTATTTTGATAGTCGACTAGTCACCGATTATTTTTGCGATTAGTCAACTAATCAGATCATCATCCATTGGACGTAAAACGTACAGCTTATTGCACCAGCAACATCTGCTCTTATATAACTATCATTAGCTTACAGCTTTAAGTGTTTAAGGTATGTGGTAACTAAAAATAAAGACAAGATGATAGTTTATTAAATTTTAATGAAATTTGCAGATTGTTTCGGTGAAGATTAATAAACTCCTTGCTATCTAAAATATAACAGTACACCGGAGTAAATTCTCGAGCATCTCACACTTCTGATGATCAGTTGTCTGCTTGATGTTTATTCAGCTGTGTAAAAACGATAACTTTAGTCTCAGCCAAACCGATTTACTCAGGAACAAATAAAATACTAAAAAAAAAAAAGCCAAACAACAACATTTTTAAGTTATCTAAGTGACTTATATATGTTTAACCTGAGTAGCGAAAGATGGCGGTGGGTTTGAAAACGATTTGCTGGGAGTCCGGTGCTCTCACGGGCTCCAGTGAGCCTTGCCCTCAGCTAACTATCGAGCTAGTGGGTAACAGACGTCTCCGAAAACGTCGGAGCGCTTTGAAAATATGTGGTGTCCTGATAAACTGAGCAGATATTTGAGGCTTACACAGCTACATTCTCACCTGAAAATATGTTAAACGTTTATTTTGTGACCCAGAAAGAATAATAAGAGTAATATCAAAACTAAGTAGCTGCCGCCATTGTTGGAAACTGAGCTGGGCCGCGCTATGAATTCTGGGACACAGTTTCTTCTTCTTCGGGGTTTAACGGCAGCTGGCATCCTTGTACATGCAGTGCTGCCATCTTCTATTTCAGTCCGTTATTACACTCTTAAATCCTACTACTTATTCCTGCGTCTTTTGGGATCTTACAAAGCTTCAAACGACGCGTCGACTATTAAATTAGTTGTCGACGATTTTGATAGTCGACGTAATCGTGACTAGTCGACTAATCGTGGCAGCCTTAATTTAAACAAGTAATTCCTTTTTTCCATTTCATATTCAAACATAGGACTTAAGAGTCAAAGCTAAGTGAAATCTTGAAATCTTATTTTTCAAAATGAGACAACTTTTTTTGGTCCATTTTTTGGGGCTTTTTAAAAAACTTTGCATTTCTTGATCATGCGGTTGAAGCGAATCGCAGGAAATGTGAGAGGGGGAAAAAACAAAACAAACAAACAAACAAAACCACAGAATCGACATGCAGCAAGGAGTCTGCTTAGATCCCAGGGTACTCCAAGCACAGCTTGGCCAACGTCGACCCCTTAAGCATCAAGCATTTTTTACATTTATATTTTTTGTTAAATGCACACACTACAAACAAGGCGGGAGTTACACTGTGTTGCAAAAACAGATTAACTGCAGCCGAAACTTATATTTAAATTAAACTGAAATTTCTTTGCTGGCATCTAAGACATTATAATTTGTTGCTCTCTCACTGGTATAGGCTGTAAAAGTGGGCACTAAACTCTCCCTCTTTCATTTGTGCAGTGATGCATCCCAGCCAACACGGCTCCGACGTTCCATCTGTGCCTCACAGGGAGTGTTTCAGCAGGCTGGTAGTGCTATATTTACTTTGTGCTACATTAACTGCATCACCCTCAGTGGGTCGATGAGTATGGAAACGATATCTTTTGTAACTGCCATGACAAGGTGAGACACTTTTTAACCCTACTGTGAAAATGCAGTTCAAGATTCATCTGCCTGTCGTATGTCACATGGGACAGGGTGGTGGAAGACCATTCTCTGAAACAACACACTCCTCCCTGTGCAGCTTCCCTAGCATTACACTAAGGCCTATGCTATTCTGTATGCATGTATCTGCCAGCTAAATATGCAACCTAAACACAGCTGCATCAAATTGACATGATCTTTGGTGACCTCTATGGTGCAAATTAAAGTTCACCAATGACCATTTTCACATCTGCCACTACCACCTGAGATGCTGCTATAACTGATCACATATGGAGAGGAAGGAAGGAAAAAGTGAAACGGCGAGAAGGGAGCTAAAATGAGGAACACATTTTCAGCTGCACTGAAGTCAAGCATGTAGGTGTGGGGAGTGGGAGTTAAACACAGTAAGTGTGTATGTGAAGTAGTTCAGTGTGTATCGAGGGTGGCAGCAGACTGACGAAGCTAAACACCATCCTCTGGGAGTTTCGCTCATTCTGGCAGAGTTACCAAATCCAGGGAGTTACCGTGCCTCAACACATACACTCACAGACAATTTATCTTGGCAGTTTGGCTCTGATAATCCTCATACAGTACAAAGTGGGGGAAGGGACTTCCCAGCAGACTTTATAAACAAGCCAGACACAGCCACAGCTTAGGGGCTCTGTTCGAAAGCATGGGCCTCAAAACAAATGAGCAACTGTATTGAGATTGACCATCTTTCAATCATCCTTATTCAAGGTGAACATTTAAGGCTACAAGTAGATATTTTCTATCATTGTTTTAGTGCACAAATATGACAAACCTTTTTGTGAGCAACACCACGTTATCAAAAGGTGATCAATTTACAGTTGTATAAGCCACACTAATAAATGAAATTTATCCTTTAAGGATATATTTAAAACAACAACAACAACAACAAAAATCTATGTGGTGTGGTACCCACTCCAGATGCCATGCACATCAAGCCATAACACTTTTAGGCTTTCAGCTAGCCCTCATTTCTGTACTATACATTTCAAGCTTTCCATTTGACAGAATGCATTATTCCACGCGTTTCTCTTGCTCTCTTTTGAAAACCCTGTTTATTATTTAAAAGTGTGTGCGAGCCCATATTATCACGCAGGACATAAAGCTGTCTGACCTAGCACAGGAAACTGCTCCATCACCAGCACACACACACAGCTGGAAAGAACCCAAATTTCTCCCCCACTCTTTGGAAACACACCCAGACTAGAGTAAGACCTGCACGGCGAGGAGCCTCTGTCCGACTAAACCTATCGACCCGAACAGCTAGAGGGGTCCAAATTACAACGCAACGGTAACTCTGCGCCAATAAATAATAAAATAAAAATACCACCTCCACCATCACAGGCCTGCTAGGAAAGAATGCTAACGATACTTAGTGTAAAACATTCTGACTACCAAAGTGTGGGGTCCAGGGGAGCAGCTGAGCCCATGTGAATTGTTTAATAAAGGACAGTGAAACGCAGAAACAGTCGTTTAACAGTGCACAGCAGCGTCTGTGCAGACTCCCCCGCTCAATGGCAACATGCTAGCAAAACAGAGCCGAGCCTCACTGAACACACAGCGAGAAAGACACCGATATGAAGAAGCCGCCACGGATAAACACCGTCGCTGAAATGCAAACCAAGTTGATTATATCACCGCTTACCCTCTCTTTGATGAAATGGTGATATTTAAACAGAACACGGTGAAAGCAGGACAACGGTTTTCGCTATTTTTCCTCACGGTGGGGTTTATCTCTCTGCGCTTGTCGTCGTCGCTCCGCCCAGCCGCCATCATCCTCACTTGGGTGCGGCAAACGGCCTAGTCCGTCCCTCGCTATTGGTCGTCTGGGAGCACATGTTAACCCATTGTAGCCGCTGATTGGAGGGCGAGTTATCGGCCCGCCCCGCAGAAATGGCTGGATTTATATTTCAGTGTTGAAACTTAAAGCCTATTAAAACGAAGGGTACGCACCTGAAACCTGTCGCAAATGTTTATTTTTAATCAGCTTTACTCACAGCTACACTGCAGTGTAATTTTATTAAAATATATGCTGCAAATGTCATGTAACTCACTTCAGTCCCAGCTTATATATTTTGGGAGCAGCACTGTATCACTTGCTACTCTTGACCTCCCAGGATTGTGCCATTGGATGCTTCACTGATCATGGTTAATGATGGTTTGTGGTAATATTCATTCATAACTTCCTCTGAGTGTGCTTGAAAAACAGTGGCACAAAAAAAACCCATACTGAAAATGGTGCATGTTTTTAGAACAGTAGTGGAAGTTTGTGATCATGTTGTGATTTGATTACATAATTTAAACATGCATTTGCTCATTCTCAGAACTCATTCAAGTGCACCAAATATATTAAGTAGTGATGATCTCTTGTAGGCTAAACATGAGGTAAGTAGAGGAGTTCGCTAAGGTTACTCTTGATTCTTTGCATCCAACAAAACTGTTGGTGCAATCAGCAAACTTGCAGTCATATTGATTTGATGATGATACCATGGAGGCCACTGACAGGGAGTGGGGTTAACAACAGTCATTGTAGGGTATATCTGTCGACAATCGGACACATTGGAAAGCTGGCAGCCAGGGGGCGCAGTTAACTCATTTGGGATAACTGCAGCAGGCTGTTTTTTCTATACAGTCTATGGCAGTAGATGTGAGGGCAATGGTTCATGTAAACATATTGACATGTTCACTATTTGCCACTAGATGGTACTGCTTTGTCAGACTTCAGGCAGACACCTGCTGCAGAGCAATACTGGTTTGCAGCGCTGGTAGGGCATAACATTAGAGTGTTCAAGGTATTCAGAAACATTTCTAAATGAGATTTGAAATTGACACTGTGCTGTTGTGTGGCACAGATGACTGTTTCTATTACTGCGGTCCAGTGTAAAATTAAAAGAACACAAACATATATAATCTAGCACCACATACTTACTGTAGCCTTGCTGCCTCAGGCAAACATATCAGCTGCCTTAGTTGTTTTGGTGTTCATAACTAGGCGTTGAATTCAGAGAAGTACCTAGGCTTTGTAAAACAAATACCATGCGTTTCATTGTGCATGGCTTATTAGAAAAGGAAAATAAGAACAAAAAGTAAACACAGAGGAGAGACCAGCTAAATAAGGAGCCCAAAAAACTCCTTTCCTCTTTCACTTCTGCACGCCTGTGATAAAATCACACATGAATTCAGCATTCAAGGGTCCAATTTCCCACAGACTGCTTACCAGATGACTAAAAAAGTCACAAGAAAAGCTCACTTCTCTGCCATATGTTGTTATTATTATCATCATTTTTATTTCAGCACCATGAAGTGTACCAGTCACGCTCTTCAACTGCTCTTGTACTGATATTATAGATCACATGGTTACGTTTTTTACGGCTTAATTTCTTTAGAATTGCACTACTTAGCATTTGAATGTAAGAACAAGCCCAGCAAAACATTCTGAGTTTGCTGGGCTTACTTTCAATGCAAATGGACCACTGGCAGAGCTGGCTTCTGACTCTTGTGGCGTTAATCCTGTCCCGTACCAGTTGACACACACACACACACACGCACTCTCCTCTTTACTGATCTCAGACCAGCACTGGCCCTTCCACTGTTGGGAATAATTGCGGTCTGCCTTGTAGCATGGATACACCGACGAGGGACTCTAAATATATCCAACCAGTGTGTCTGAAGGGCTTGGGCATGAAGATCATATACTTACACTGGAAAGCTACACCTTGCTCTATTAATTTTTCTGCTCTATTGTGTGCCAGTGTGTGTAAGTATATGTGCATCTACTTAGTGCTCTGACACTCACTCTCTTGCTTTTTTCATTTCATGCAATCATTTGATATTCCTATCAACAGCAACAGGAAAATAAGATTCTTTAATCCATATATCGGTCTTTTTTTAACACTAACAAACATAAGTTTGGACGTCTATTTAAACAAGGTGAGGCAGACAAGCTCAGAAAGACCTAGAAAAACAAGCATTAGTAAATCTAATATGATGTAAAATGCAGGTCTTTTAAGTGATAGCAAATCACTCGAGCTGCAGCATTACATTTAAGTTAGCATACATTCCTCCTCCTGGGTCACCTGTTTTCTCTTAGAAGCACATGTCACAGAGTGAGTGAAGATAAACCCAGCTGCTTTTCGTATTCATTTCAGGGCAGCACTGGCCGTCCCCTTTTAACTACAGCCAGCCTTCAGCTCAAAGCTCTCAAATCACCGGGGGCTGATATGAAAATAAACAATTTGTAGTTGAGCAGAAGATGCCTGGAAGCGCTGGCATGTTTAAGGGTACAGCCTAACCAACGACTTGCAATAAAGGACATTAGAGGCTTACTGCAGCTCAGCTGGGCAGGTAAAGTTCTTGGCATTTGTTGCTCAGTGAACCCACAAAGTAGTTACAGAGGTGTACTGTGATACTGTTCTATCTTGTAGCAGCAGCAATCTGTCGTTGACTCAAAGATGGTATTGTTTTCAGCTTGCAGTGCCATGGAAAGCCCCACTCCCTCCTTCTCTGTCCTGCACAACAAGACAAGGGTCAGTCTGTCTTTCCCTTTCCAGTGTGTTTTCAAGTCACTTCTCCTTCAGGAAAATATTGTGTAACCTTTGAACTTTGGCAGTGATCTTTTGAACCCAGTGGTCCCACCTACAGATGGATTATTCACAAGGATGTTAACAAAAATAAAGACAATACGTGAAAAGCAGTGCAAGACTGTGAAACTTTAAAATAATATCCACAGATATAATTAGTTACATACATCAGTTAGACGCGGCTGCTGAGCCAGGTCAGTCTCTGTTAAAGTATAATGAAATATCATTAAAATATACAAATCAGTCACCTATTACTGTATAGTAAACATCCGGACTATGATCTTCCTTTGGGAGCTGCCTATTATGGTTTAAAGCTGAAAAAGAACAAATGAAACATTCATAAAAGGATAATAAAAGTGCAGCTGTGATTATTTGTTTGTGGATGACATTTGGAAACATGAGCACAATACTACACATAATATTTTGATTTTGTATTTTTATGGAGGGCTGATTTACATAAACCTAAGTAAACAAGTACCTCAATGTTACTTTTCATGACTGAGTTCGAGTAGGTCTGCTAGCTCTATCTATCTATGCATTTAAAAGTAGGGAGCTGGAACTGAAGTGACAATGCACACTGCATAAATATCAATCAAAACATATTAAAATATAATAAATAAGAAGATATTTTAGTATTTTTGAGTTGTTTATCTTTTGTTATTGTGTGTCTGCATGTGTATATATGTGGGAATGTGAGTTTTTGTAATGTGTTTTACATGCCCAGGAACTGCACAAGGAAATTACCTGGCAGCTAAACGTGATACACTACATCTTTTCCTTTTATGTAATTAATGTATTTTGGTTCCTGAAAGAAATAAATGAACAGAAACAGAAACAACATTCCAGATCTCCTATTTAACATATCCTGAGTAACCCATCTAATACATAATTTTATTTATTTATTTATGTTATAAATTAAATTAAAGTTTTTACTAGCAGTATAAAATATTGTTAATACAATATCCGAGTATGTGCAGTAAATGTAAGGTGCGATAGGATTTATTTAAAAAGTGTATTTAATTTTTTTAAGTACAGTATTTCAAAATGATAGTCTTTTCAGTCTAGACAGGTCGCCTGGAAGAAAAGAAAAAAGAAAAGAGGAGCCTGTCTGAATGTGGCTGTGCGCTCTCTGGAGATACCTTGTCTTCTCGCCGCCTCCCTGTGCACCCTCCCCCTGTCTGCTGATATCTCAGCCCGGAGAGTTTTGAATCCACTCTGTGGCCTCAGTCGCCGCCATGCTGAGCTGAGAGAGAGAGCGTCAAGTCAAACTTTGTCACGCTGCCTCAACCCTCATCTCCGTACGCACCGGGAAACGTCCCACAGTGAGTACCTTTAAGTTCAGTGAAATGTTTAACCTGCGGCTATCTGCTCGGTGAAAGTAGCATCTGTGTTTTTTGTCCCCCTCTCTAAAACGCGGAGTGATTCAGGGCTGTAGCCTCGCGGCTCCGTACTCGTGCGTGCCGTCGCAGACTTCAAGCTCAGCTGCACTTGTTGCGCTGTAGCTGAAACCCCAACAGAGACAAAGGGAGGTGTGGAAAATGCATCGTTTTAGTGTTTTACTTCTAAGCCATTTTTTAAAACTCCAGCTTTCGGCTTTTACATTACTGTCTCTCTCGACGTTTCAGAGCAGAAAATAAGATGTTAGCAGCGGGCGGCTCTGGAGTCCATGCTGTCTTTTAATCGCAAAAACCCTCCTCTGTACTTCATTATCTCTTGTCCCCCAGCTCACACGCATTTTTTTTAAAAGTATTAAACTGTTATTTTAAAATGCCAGTCTGGCACCTTAGAGGTCAGTCGAGGGTTTTCTACCCTTGGCATGCATAAATCAAGAGTGCGCTTTCACTGCAGCAACAAAAGCCCTTTATTGACAGCGCTGAAGCACACAGCCACGTAACCACAGTTTATATGAAGAGCACCCAAATGTCACCGAGTGAAATAAAGACCTGCAGCATGCACTCTGAGGCCTCTTGGGGGAGTTTTAGGAGTTCTCCAAGTTTCAGGGCATGTTGTACTACCAAGACTGGGGAGGGTCGGCAGTGACCTGCGCATGGGTTTCATCAGGAGAGCGTTTTCACCTGCATGCATGTCTAATCTTAGGTGGTGAGCAGGCTGCACTGAATAATAGGTTATGCTTTTTGTCTTCCTCCTCTCCACATTTGCCCTCTGACCTGGCAGTCCTGCATTTC